ATGGTGTCTTGTGTACTCTGAAGAATAAACTTCTAAAATGAGATCTTGAATTGGTGATAAACTCAAAAGCACAGACGTTCTTATGCTTGTTTCCAGAGAGAAACAACATAACCCGTCTTACAGAGCCTTCCAGAGAAACAGCCTGCATCTGTGAATAAAGAGGCCTTTATTAAAGAGTAGATTTATATTAATAGTGTATTTGAGTCTTTTAACAATACATTCGCCTTCACTTTAAACAGGAAAACGCTCATCTGCCTCCTCCTAGCTTCTGTTACATCCTCACCGCTCATCCAGAGCTGGGACAAATGGATGCAACTGAAGAAGACTCTGTTTCGAAGCTCTACCAGCCTCCGGCTCCCCGCTCCTTAAGGGAAATTCTCCAGGTGGCGTCTTTGTTTGTACCCTGGGCTCAGTTACTTTGCTGTGTCCGTGAGCTTGGGGAGGCATTCCTCTCTGTTTTCAATACCTTTCCAGGCTGATGGCCCCTGTACCCGTTGCAGTTTCTATGCCAGAGTGATTTACCAAAGACCACAGGTAATCCATCTCTCTTTTTCTCAAAACGTGTTGCATAGCTTATTAAAGGATAATCTCTCTCAGAAACTGCTGCAGTACCAAAAGAGAAAAACACTGTTGAACTTGAGCTGTGTGCACTCTGTGCTGATGCGGTGGTCAGTCCATTCCTTGTGCAGGTGGGGCTGCAGCCCCTGGTGAAGCGCTGGGTGTGCAGCCGCCAGGGGGAACCCACCCAGCTCTCAGACCGGGCATGTCGGCCCCTCTCTGACACAGGCAGGCTGTGGAAAGGAAGGAGCAGCTGAAGCCTCCTTTCCGGGGTGAAAGTAGAAATCTCAGGATGGAGCCCAGCCATTTCTAAGGTCTCTTTATTCCACAGTCGAGAGGAGCCTGTGGTCGCTGTGAGACCTTAGGCAGCTCTCCGGGGCAGCACCCAAGTCAGGGGGCCGAGGCCAGGGGAGGGGTGCTCTCGGCCCACGAGTGCGCACCCTCCGCCCTGCAGGAGCCTCCACTGGACCTTAACTCAGAGCTGGACAGCCGCGTGTCACAGCCACTCCCTGTTCGCTTGTAGGCACTTGAGAGAGAATCAGCACCTGTCCCGGAACTCGAGGGCTCTCATCTTCCCCCCTGTAACAATCTCTAACTTCCTGTGTGTGATCACCCTCCCAACCACGTGAGCGCTCTCCCCCACCCAAGTCACAGCTCCTGACCGTGCCGCCACCTCCTCCGCCCGGTCGTGTCAGCCGCCATGCCACGTGCGATCCGCAGCCTTCCTACAGGGGCCTTCCCAGCCAAACCCTTGTCCCCATTTGCATCTACTGGATCCTAATGGCAGAGTGGCATTATGTCCTAATCACCTCCCGAAGGCCCCATCTCCCATTACCATCACATCACGTTGGAGTGTAGGACTCCAACATATGAACTGGTGGGGCGGGGAGAGGCAGAGGAGGGGGACATAAACATTCAGTTCGTAACTGTTCCTAACCCTTGGGAAGCTTGTATCTAGCAGGAGAGAAGACTGTGTGTGCTGACGGTAAGGCAGTGTGATGATATGTGAACACGTGGCATTGGGAGGAAGGGCATGGCTTCTTCCTGATGGGTCAGAGGGCAAGCAGTGTGGAGCCAGGGACGGGCAGGTTTCCCCCCACAAAGGAGCCCTTAAACCAGCTGCAAGGTGGGAGCTCACAGGGCTCAGCCATGTCCTGGGGGCTGCTGGCCAAGACACGCAAAGGCTATTGCATGTTTTGAAATACTTATTGAAATGATTATCACAAATTGTTAGTGTTAATAATAATCATCTAAGATTATTGCTTTTAAAAAATAATTTTGGCTCTAAGAAAAGCTTCTAAGTTAACAGCCTGACTGCGTCTTTGAATTATAGGTGAACAGTTCGCTTCTGGAGCCAAGGGAGCTGTGGCTGGTGGTGACCGACGTTACTCTGCAAACACAGGACGAGGGCTCGGGTCTCCCCAAAACCATGCCTGTGCGTGTGGCCCCCTCATGCGTGCTGGGACGGGAAGTCCGGGACGCGCTCTCTGAGGCCACCTCCAAGAGCTGCTTCTTCAGGGACGCCCTCCGAGACCAGGGTGCGCTTTCCTCTTGCTGACGGCTGATGTGGTGACTGAGAGATGCCAGAAAATGGCTTTGTGGATTCTTGATGCCTCTGTCTTGCTCTGGAAACGCAGGCCCCATCCCGAAGTCCACTGTGGACAAGACCCCTGTGATGGCCACATGGACAGAACCAGAACCCCCTGCATGCAGTGCCGGCACAGCAGCAGGAGATGCCAGTGGTCACTCAAGGGTGGTCTGTTGGGGTCACACTTTACAGGTGCAGAAGCCACCTGAAGCCACTGCCTGGCACATCACTTTTTAAAACAAACAAAGCTAGAACATTTAAACACGTGCTTTCATCCCTCAGTATCCACCCCGCTGCGGACACCAAGACCTGCAGGTGCTCAGGTCCCTTCTGTAAAATGGTGGTATCTGCATATGAGCTGCACACATCCTCCCATATTTTTTTTTTAGTAAATTTATTTATTTATTTTTGGCTGTATTGGGTCTTTGTTGCTGTGCACGGGCTTTCTCTAGTTGTGGCGAGCAGGGGCTACCCTTTGTTGCCGTGTGTGGGCTTCTCATTGCGGTGGCTTCTCTTGGTGTGGAGCACGGGCTTTAGTAGTTGTGGCACATGGGCTCAGTAGTTGCAGCACACGGGCTCTAGAGTGCAGGCTCAGTAGTGGTGGCCCACGGGCTTAGTTGCTTTGCGGCTTGTGGGATCTTCCCGGCCCAGGGCTCAAACCCGTGTCCCCTGCATTGGCAGGCAGATTCTTAACCACTGTGCCACCAGGGAAGCCCTCCTCCCACACTTTAAATCTTCTCCAGATCACTTACAATACCTAATACGATGTCAGTGCTGTGTAAATACTTGCCGGTGTGCAGCAAATTCAAATTTTGCTTTCTGGAACTTTTTTTCCAAATATTTTCCATCCACCGTTGTTTGAATCCGTGCTAGTTTGAATCTGCAGGTGCAGAACCTGCAGATACAGAGACCTAACTGTATGCGTAGATTAGTCAGTACTTTTTTCCAGGAATCAAAGTAGGATCCTGCCTAGACTGTATATTTTTCAGTGTATATAACTTGCATGACACAGAATTTGCCTTTATGAATGGAATTTGAACGTAGTGTTTGTGTGCTTTTACAGCTTAGTGCACAAGGCTTTGGGCTTCCTTTCTGCACGGTGCCGTGTCTCTGGACACACGGGGCCCGCACTGGCTCCCCCAGTCCCCCCAGCTCCCAGGTGGCTGGCAGAGGACACATCTCTACTGGCAGGAGAACTCGCTTGTTTCAAACCTCAGAGCTGCAATAATCTGAAGTGTCTCTGTTGGCAGGTCAGCTTGTTTGTGTTGGACGAACTGTCCTCCTGCTTCCAAAGCCCCAGCTGGGTGTGGCCTCTGGTGCCTGGGAGCTGACGAGCCCTGTGAGGCTGGATGAGCTGGATTCTGTCACTCGGGTCAACTCCATTTGCAGCGTCCAAGGTGGGTAGTCGATTTTGATGGAAGAGGTATTTGTATTTCCTTAAGTATCACACTTACCTTATATTCATTTGCTCATTTGTTCATCGAGTATTTGTTGCGTGCCTGACATTGGATGCGTGACAAAGACGTGACCAGAGACAGGATGGCAGCCTGCGGTGCTCCGGGTGCCTGTCGCCAGGACCTCCTCACCTGTAGGAGGCACGGACAGGAGCCTGAGCCGAGATGGTGGGGGAGGGGGGCTGGTCAGGTTCAGGGTCGGGGCAGGAGGGGAGCAGGGCTTACAATGGGTGCTGACGGGGCAGGTGGATCAGCGCCAGCGTCTGGGAGGGGCTGCGGGGGCATCTGGAGGGGCCGGAGGGGCTGCGGCCTCAGGTAGCACCCAGGGCGGGGGCCGAAACAGGGCAAGGAAATAGATCTGCGGGTGGATTAGTCAGGAGGGAAACTGACAGGGTAACAAATTCAGTACAGGGGAGCGAGACGTGGACGGAGGGCAGGAATGTCTGTGAAAGCAATTTGCTGAATTAATTTCCAAAAAGTACAGAAATTCCAAAAGTAACATTGAGGGCCTGTCTCTTCCACCCTTGGACCACTAGATTCCTGGACCCCACTGTGGTTTTTATGAACAGCAAAAGCTGTGATGCCACTGATGCTTGAATCCCCAGTCCCTGTGTGCTTGTGAGATTGAGCACGTGTTCATTGTGTTGAGGCCGTTTGGATTTTCCCTTCTTTGCGTTTCCTTTTACCATTAGTACCAAAACATAACTGCTATAGCCTGGAGGTCCTGAAGAAGGCAGGCTCTGTCACCTGTGCCCGGGTCCCCACTTTCTCATCTCTGCAACAGGGATAACAGGACTGACCCCAAAGCCTTGCTGAGGAGTAAATGAGCTGGTGGCGAAGGCGGACATTCAGTGCTCCGGGCGGCAGGTGGCTGGCCTGGGGGCTGGAGACAGTGACAGCAGAGGTGGGGTGCCAGGGCCCTCAGGATTGCTCTGGCAGGGTTGGTCAAGGCCTTCCAGACAGTTGAGGGCACGTGGAGAATGCCGGGCAGCCGTGAGAGCTTCGTGTGCTGGCGGAGCAGGGCTGTTGTGGGCAGGCTGGCCCTGTGCTGTTCTGCTGTCCCCGGCCGTGTTAACGAGGTGGGATGGTCAGATTTTTGTGATAAATGAAGCGATTCTTTCAGCACCACGGATGGATCGACTGTGGTGCAAAGCCGGGGCTGGCCGTTGGCAGGAAGATGATTGCGCTGCTGTTTGGAGGAGCACGGGGGAGGGTGGCCGCGAGGCTGGAGGCCGAGAAGGCCAAACTCGAGCAGTCTCAGGCAGCCTGTCCACAGCCTGTGGTTTCCAGCCACCTGCCGAGAGGCTCCCATCCCCTCACCTCTCTCAGAGCGGGGTCGCTCCTGGGCGCAGAGCAGGGAAGGATGAGGAAGCAGCCCCCAAGTGACAGTCCCCACCCCTCCCACTTCGGCTTTAGGAGACCGCAGGCATCGCCACCACCCGAAGCACCATTTTATGAGAAAATGCACCTGAAGAGCTGGCTTCCTGAGGAGGGTTTGGAACCTGACCCACTCTTACCTGCAGCCAGGGAGTAAGAAGCACAGAGGTGCAAGCAGAGGAGAATGTGTAGACGCTTGTAGGGACAGAGAGAAGACCCGAGTTTTCTGAAGACCCTAATATTTTTTGTTTTTGTTTTTTTTTTGTTTTGTTTTTTGGGGGTTTTTTGCGGTACGCGGGCCTCTCACTGTTGTGGCCTCTCCCGCTGCGGAGCACAGGCTCCGGACGCGCAGGCTCAGCGGCCATGGCTCACGGGCCCAGCCGCCCCGCGGCATGTGGGATCTTCCCGGACCGCGGCACGAACCCGTGTCCCCTGCATCGGCAGGCGGACTCCCAACCACTGCGCCACCAGGGAAGCCCCTAATATTTTTTAAAAATAATAATTTATAGTGAGATTTACAGAACACAAAATTAACCATTTTCAAGTGAGAAACTCAGTGGCAGTCCATTTATAGGGTTGTGCAACCACCTCCTATTTTACATTTTGGCTTTTGTCATCTGAGTGGCTTTGAAAACAAAGTGGCAGTCTGGTTTTCAATCACAGTGTCATTGAGATGAAACTCACCCTGTTAAAGTGTACAGCTCGCTGTTTCTAGTGTGTTCACACAGTTGTGCAAGCACGCCCACTGACTAGCCCCAGAGAGGAACCTGTGTCTGTCTGCAGTCATGCCCCGTCCCCGCCCAGCCCCTGGCTTCTGCTTCTCTACCTTCAGTCTCATGGACACTCCGGCACGTGAATCCTGCACTGTGCGCTCCTTGGTTTCTGGCTGCTTTCACTCAGCAGAACATTTTCGAGGCATTTCTCAGGCTGCATTCCTTTCTGTGGCTGAATATTCCATTGTATGGGTAGACCCTGTTTTGTTTAAACATTCATCAGTTGATGCACATTTTTTTTGATACTGTGATTCATGCTGCTGTGAATATTCATGTAAGGGCTTTGGGTGGACATGTATTTTCCGCTCTTTGGGTGTATTCCTGTTGTTGCAGATGGTGTTCATGTGGGCCATGATCATAAGTAGAGAGCAGCGGCAGAACCAGGAAGAAGCTGTGCTCCCTCCAGAGAAGGTAACCCTTCCGAGGGACAGAACTGAGGCTGAGATTGGGCCCTCCCGGCGCAGACAGCATGACCACAGGGCAGTGTCGGGAAGCGTGGCCCACGGTGAGAGATCCAGTGTCCACTGTGGCCTCTCTGGAGAAGGGCAGTGTTGATGGATGGTCTCTGGCCAGCAGCCCCCGTGGAGCTACACCTGGGCAGTGGAGGGAGAGCTGGGCCAGCAAAGTCCTCCTCATGCCCCCAGAGCAGAGCTCTGCGACAGGTCGCATCCCCTGTGCGTCATGTCCTCACCAGCGTTTGGTGTTTGCCGGGCTTTAGATTGTCAGCCATTCTGACAGGTGTGTGATGGTGCCTCGTTGCTATTTTAGTTTGCGTTTCCCTGACCACATGTGAAGTGGAGCGACTTTCACGTGCTTATTTGCCGTCTGCGTAGCTTCTGTGGTGAGAGGCGTCTGCGTAGCTTCTGTGGTGAGGCGTCTGTGAAGCGCTTGGGTCCGTTTTTTATTCAGGTTGTTCATTTTCTTATTGTTGTTGAGTTTTAAGAGTTTTTTCATATATTTTGGATAACAGTCCTTTGTCAGATAGGTCTTTTGCAAATACTTTTTCCTGTCCTTGGCTTGTCTCTTCATTTTCTTAACAGCGTCTGCAGACTAGTTTTAATTTTAATGAAGTCCAACATCAACTTGTTTTTTTCATGACTTGTGCTTTTGGTGAACCTAAACACTTGTTGTCGGATCCAGGGTCACCCAGATTTTCTCCTGTTTTCTTCTAGGAGTTGTATAGTTTTGCATTTTACACTTAAGTCTATGATCCATTTTCAGTTAAATTTTGTGAAAGGTGTAAGGTCTTTCTGGATTCATTTTTTTCCCATGTGTTTTGTCAGTTCTGTCACTGTTGAAAAGGCTGTCCTTTCTCTATTGAAATGTCAAAGATCAGTCGACTATATTTACGTGGGTCTATTTCTAGGCTCCCTATTCTGTTGCACTGACTTATTTGTTCTTTCACTGCTACAACACTGTCCTGATTACGGCAGCGCAGGTGTGTGTAGTCCTCCAGCGTGTTCTTCATTACTGTCTTGGCTATTCTAGGTCTTTGTCTCTTCCACATAAACTTTAAAATCGGTTTGTTGGGGGCTTCCCTGGCGGCGCAGTGGTTGAGAGTCCGCCTGCCGAGGCAGGGGACGCGGGTTCGTGCCCCGGTCCGGGAAGATCCCACATGCTGCAGGGCGGCTGGGCCCGTGAGCCATGGCCGCTGAGCCTGCGCGTCCGGAGCCTGTGCCCCGCAACGGGAGACGCCACAGCAGTGAGAAGCCCGCGTACTGCAAAAAGAAAAAAAAATCGGTTTGTTGGTATCCACAGAATAACTTGCTGGGATTTTGATTGGGATTGTGTTGAATCTGTAGAGCAACTTAGAAAAAATGTACATCTTAACACTGTTGCGTCTTCCTGTACGTAAACGTGGACTCTCTCACCGTTGATTTCTTTCAGCAGAGTTTTGTACTTGTCCTCATATAGATCTTGTGCATATTTTGCTACACTTATACCTAAGTATTTCATTTATTTTAGCTAATGTAAATGGTGTTGTGTGTTTTTAATTTCAGATTCCCTCGTTTATTGTTAGTATATAGGAAAGCATTTTTTGTATTTTAACTTTAAATACTTTTTAACTTTAAATACTTTTAATTTTAAATACTTTTGTATTTTAACCTTGTATCCTACAACCTAGCTACAGACATGTTTGTAGTTCTAGATTTTTTTATTGTTGATTCTTTGGGCTGTTCTACAGAGAAAACTGTCCTCTGTGGGCAGGAGAGTGTTTTTCTTCATTCCCGACCTGTATACATTTTATTTCCTTTTCTGGCCTCTGGCATAAACTGGGACTCCCAGCACCAGGTTGCATAGAAGCAGTGAGAGGGGACTTCCTTGCCCTGTTGCTCATCTTAAGGAGAAAGCATCAGCTTTCTTTCTCACCATTAGGTAATGATGTTAGCTGTAGGGGGTTTGCTTGCTTGCTGTTTTTTCTGCCGAAGATAATCTCTGTATCGCACACATCGAAGGAAGAGAACCCTGCTCTTCTGCTACCGCTCTCTTCCTTCCCCTGCAGTTGGTTTTGTGTGTTGCTGAGGTCAGTACTGTTCTGTAGCTGTAAAGCCTTGCACTTTGTCTACAGGTTGATCCTCAAAGGTGAAAATCAATAAATGGTATTTTGGGACTTCCCTGGTGGTCTGGTGGTTAAGACTTCGCCTTCCAGTGCAAGGGGTGTGGGTTCAATCCCTGGTTGGGGAGCTAAGATCCCACATGCCTCATGGCCAAAAAACAAAACATAAATCAGAAGCAATATTGTAACAAATTAAATAATGACTTTAAAAATGGTCCACATGAAAAAAATCTTTA